CTACACCTAAATCTTCCTCTCAAGAACCTTTATCTCCCCAACCCCGACCTCGAGCCATGAGAGAACTTGGTCTTTATTTGGAACTAAAGAAATGGAGCTACAAGAAGAATCTCTTGATGGTCAAGCGTAGCCCTAGAAATAGGATCCAGGAGTCCCCAGCTCCTCATCCAGAGAAATGTCCATTGGCCAGGTTATTTCAGGTGACCACAGTGGTTAGAACCCTTGGAAGGGCTCAGCATTTTGGCCAAAGGCCACCAGCAGTGCCATGTCCATGCCAACAGTCAGGAGTTCTCCCTTCGGATTTTTTGGGGGCCACACCCAGTGCCCCACCCCACTCCAAGACCCTCCCCTCACCGTGACGTAAGTGTCACTCAGCTGGGCCCAGCCATAGAGGTCCAGAAGCCGGTAGACACTGCTGATCTTGCACCGCATGAGCCGCTCCCCCTTGGCCAGGTTCAAGGGGTCGGCTGTGTGGAGGTCATTGATGGGCGTCATCAAGGAGAAGTCTGCACGGGGAGAGGGTGAGGACACGGTAGCTCGCAGGGTCAGGGGCTCCCATCTGCCCCTCCTTCCTAGCCCTGGTCCTTTCCAAATCCTCACTGGCACTACAACTGCACGAGATACTTCAACAGGCAGGGAAGTCAGCATTCTTTCACCTTTACCCAGGTGAGAAAATCCGAAAGTCTCTGCTTATTTGGGTAAGAGTGGTATTGCTTTTGGTAAAAAATCATGACAAGGCTTAAGGTCACAGAATGAAGGGTGGTCAGAAAGCCAAGCTTACCACACATCCTAAAGATGGGCATTAAATAAAAGCAAGAATAAGTTTCAGGGTTCAAATATGGCTATATTTCATCAGTTAGTTTTCAGGAAGAAGTTACTAATCCTTAGACTTGCTATTATTGTACTATTTTAACTATACTATGCAATATAACTTTTTCTCTGATTTGGAAACACGGCAAATAGAATACCAAAGTCACCCAGGAAGTAAATTCCTCAACTTTTCCTCAAGTCATAAACTTCCGGAAGTCAGTGTGGCTGTGTTTGGCTGAAGGGTTTCAGGCCTTAGCAGGCCTCATCTGCTCCCCTCTGGATGTGTCTTTTGGTTCTTTATAGTTTCTCTTTGGGAATTTTGGGGGCTATGAACGGGACTTAGAAATGGACCTAGAGGGTCTGATAGTCTTGTCCTCAGGGCACCCAAAGGGTCTAGGAGTTGACGTCCAGCCTGACCCATTAACCATGATGACTGCTGCCTACAGGCCTCAAGAAGGCAAAAGGGGGTGTCTGAGCCCCAGCACTCTGTTTTGCCAGTGTCCAGGAACCAATAAGAGAATCAGTAGGAAAGTGTTGTGACTTAAAATGACATCTGGCTGGGAGCCTCCTGATGCTGCCTCTCCCAGCATCCCATTAAGAAGTTTAATGGATTAAAATGCTCTTTGGGAACTTCCGCCATCTCTGTAAGCCTCGCTACTCCACAGTGCGATGTGTGTCCTGGGCCAGCCTGCCATTAGCAGAAATAATGAGATGGTGTGTGAAGATGAGGGTGGACTGAGTGCTACTGGCCCAACATAAAGCAAGCACGGCAAGCCTCAAACACCCATGTCAGGAAAATGCACCCAAAAGGGTGATACACCTCCAGGGCATGTGTCCAGTAGCTGACAGGGACAGAAGCGGTCCGAAGATCCAGTTCAACAGGCAAGAAGAACAATTTAAAAAACTCCCAAGTCAACAATTTCTAATTCAAATGGACCAGTCTGGGATCCCTTCCTCCTCTCTGTGCATCACCCTGACAAGAAATTGCCTATTAGCTTCACCCAGGCAGCAAGAAGGGAGGCATATTGAAAAGATAAGGTCCCCAGACAAAGCCGGGGAGCGGGGGGGGGGGGCTACTATTTGGGGGAGGGTCTTCAGATCCAGAGTTCTTTGGGTCCTTCTTTTACCAATAATGATGGAGTCCCACTGATGCTGAGGAGGCCAGAGTGGGTTTTAACACACCCTATCGCATCCTCCACATCCTGTACCAGAGGCTCCCCCGAGCCCCCGGCTGCGAAGATTATTCTACCCACGTCTTGAGGGCAGGAGAAGGGAATAGAGGGCTCCACAGGAGTCCCCATCCTCTGCCTCCAGGGTCTTAATGAAAAGAATGCTTATTCTGACGAGCTTCACACAAGCTAGGATGGCTGTGCACCAGGTTTATGACTCAGATCTAGTGGAGCCATTTATTCAAATTACTTAAGAAAACATAGAAAAAGATGCAAGACCCACCTAACCTCCTGAAAGCTAAGAATAAAAGACATACTACTGCATTAAAAAAAGAGAAAGAATGAAAGTAAGAAAGGAAGGAAGGAAGGAAGGAAGAAAGAAAGAAAGAAAGAAAGAAAGAAAGAAAGAAAGAAAGAAAGAAAGAAAGAACTTCTAAGGCAAATGGAGTGGGACAAAGAACCTCTTGAGCTTGAACTCATGACTGCGATTTCCCTTCTCTGCATTCCCTGACTCAGACACCTGGATGCACACTAATCAAATTTCCAGTCATCCAACTGTCTTCCCGACAGACAAGAAGAATGCTGGTCAGCCCAGTTTCTCTTTCAAATGGAAGAGTATAAGGACAGAGACATGAAAATGATGAGAGAAAATATGTTGGTTACGGGAGACAAATACCAGAGAGCTAGCATATAGATGATCAGTACTGATCTAATAGAAAACTTCTGGACTGGAAAACAGCATATATATATAGAGGTTAATAATGTTACTTTATAAAGATTTGAAAATCTATAAGAAAAGAATAGGTGAGTAGGAAAGTCGGCAAAGGGTGGGTATGGCAATCAATTTACTGCAAAAGGAAAATCATGTCCAATAAGTGTATGAAAATACACCCAACTTCATTAGTAACTGCACATTAAAACACAAATAAAGGATTTTTCATCATCTGCCAAATCATGAGGATGAAACAAACGGTAATGCATACTGTGGATCAGAGTGGAGTAATGGGCACTCTAGTGCATGGCTGCGGGGAATGTAAATTGGTTCCCTCTTTCTCCGGGGATATTTGACATTATACATTAAAGTCTATAAAACATGCATATACTTCAATCTAGGTTGTATATTGCAGCAGCATCAGAAGCAGAGCCAGGTACCTCTCTGGCTGCTGCTCAGCTCCCCCAGGTCTACTCATGCAACTGCAGCACTCACCCCGTAGCCTGGCAACCCAGCTGCCTCTTGCTGCTCCTTTCTCTCGTCCCCACCCCACTTCCCCAACCCGCTGCTCCTGGCAGCTCCCCTGCTCCCCACATACTCATGGAAGATGTTGGGAAGACTGCGTGGGAGGTGCTGGCCATGAAGTCCGCGATCTGCCGCAGGGCCCAGATGTTGGAGGAATTGTTCCCCTTCTTCATCTGCTCCTGGATGAGGCCTTCCAGCTCCTCCCTGAAAGACTACAAGCAGGCCAAGGGGCGCTGGTCCCCTAGTGCATCTTGGAGACCACGGGGCCCTCTTCCAAGTGCCCACCCCACCCCAGGTCAGCAAGGCCGGGGCCACACTTGGGATTCCTGGGCCCCGGAAGACACTGGGCAATTTCACTGGGATTTAGGATCCTCCCCAAACTGCTATTGGGGGGGGCCACAAGGAGATGCTGAGAATGGATCCTGCTCACTTTGACCAGTGGGCAGTACTCCGATTCCAGGTAACTTCCTGTGTCTAAGTGATAGTCAAGGTTGGCAGGACTTCAATTTAGTAACTGAGACATGTTAAAAAGCAGAACTGAATGAGAAAGCATGCCCATCTTCCATTAGCTGTGCCTATGGATTTTTTGAGCCTCTCAGTTTCAGAAGGATTTGATGACTCCTGAGTTCTCCACCTCTGGTTTCCCACTACAGTACTCTCAGCCTGGCTTTTCAGAGCCCGCGGGCTAGGAACAAAGCATGTCTGTCCAGCAGGTGGCAGCAGGGAACACGCGTGTTGGTGACTATAAAAGGGGAGAAGCAGCCTGAGTTCCTCCCATCCCCATCGCCTGCCTGGGAATAGAGTCCCATCCTCTCAGGCTCCAAACCTGCCACTTCTCCTCCCACACCTGCCTCCCCTCTTAGTCACACTCTGGGGTTTTTCCACCGCCCCAGTGCTTCTAGCACCTGCCATAGTCCTTCAGGCGCCCCAACACTGTCACCTGTCACCAAGACTGCAGGCCATCCTCGGTGCCCCTCTGTGAGGCCTGAGCATTCACTGTGTGCCCTCAGCTAGGGTCACACATCCCCATTAATGCCTTGGCTCCCATGCCCATGCAATGCCCTGGCTCCCTTGGAGCTGAGGCAGAGCCCATCCTGGCAAGCACCTGGAGATACCAGCTCCACCCCTGAGCTTCCCAGCCCTTGGGATCATGCACTGTTTCCTGAGGATCCCTCAGCTCTACCGCCCGCAGGCTCCCATGCTCTTCCTCCCCCCCGGCCCAAGAGCGTGTGCCACCTCCCACATCAGTGGTCCATTAGGCCCATTATGTCCTTGCCTCAAGGATGAGCTGAGTCCATGCCAGGCAGACACCTCTGGAGCTCTGGTGGGATGATCTTCACTTGCTCTCCCTTCCGGGGCCCCTGTCCCATAATCCCCTGAATTATCGACTCCCCCCACCGCCTGGGGCTTTGCGGCTCTCTTCACCCCTGCCCCGGCATGTCAGACTTATTGCCCCAATTGTGAGTCCTTTCTGGTGTTGGGGAAGGGGAGTCTCAGGTCTTCCACGTGGCGCCCTCTGCTGGGCTCCGGTTTCCGCACATGTGTTCATTGTTAACAGCTTTTGGTGAGGAAGGAAGACTGGAAACAGGCTCAGAAGGGGCGCTGGAAACGGAGGTGGGGCGCTCGTCTCTCAGACGCACCGATCCAAACCACCTACACCTAAGCCGGGTTTTGCCACCCACCGGCGACCGGAGAGAACCAAACACCCTGGTCTAGCCCAGCTTGAAATCGCTGAGCGCGTGAAAGAGGAATTCTCTTCCCGGTCCACCCAGACGCATGAGCGCACCGCCTCCCCACCCGCGGGGCGGCCGGGGCAGACCCCACGCACCGGGCTCTGCAGGATCATGGTCACGCGCTTCTTCTGCTCCATCAGGTTGAAGTCCTGCCGCAGGTCCGCCGCGCGGTGGCGAAGGCGCAGGTACTCGGGGTCGTCCTCAGAGAAGCGGTCAAAGTAGTGCTGCCCCTGCGGGGGCGGCGGGGAGGCGGCCTCGGGGGCGGGCTCCTCGCTCATTGTCCTGTGGGTTCACTATCCACCCCTGGGACCTGCGGAGAAGGGAAGAGGGCGGACGGGTTGGAGCTCCCGGTCGGGGTGCGCGGGTCCTAACGCAGAATTCACAGTGGGGTGCGGCAATTCCCAGGAGGCTGTAGGCGGGGCCGCGGGTTAGAGGGCAGGGCACGCCGGCAAGTGCCGATCCTTAGGGGGCGCTACTGCATCCCTGGACTAAGTGAAAATAAGGCACCCGCCCAGGTGTCCACCACCCCTCCCCGACTAACCCGCCAGCCGCACATGGCCACCGTCCAGCTGAAGTGGACAGTCCCCCCAGTGCCGGCGAGGATGTCTGTGATGCCTGCCTTACACAGAGTAAAGCTATTTACTGGGAATGAGCACTTCAGCTAAAACGTCAAGCCCCTAAGACGCCTCCTAAAAAAAATGTTGGCGGGAAATTCACAAAAGATAACTGTAAAGAGAGGACGACCGAGGAAAGGTGGGGATGCTTTTCTGCACAACTTTGACTTGCTCTGACCTCTGTAAAGGATGGAGGATGCAGATGTTTCCCTTTGGGCATCTCCCCCCACCCCCTACGCCTCCATCCCCAGTGCCTCTCCCTCAAGCCAAATGCCCAAAGAGAAACATCTGCAAAGAACACAGATGACCTACTGACAGTTGCCTTGTGGGTTCAAGCCAATCCCACGGGTGGGGTGAGCTAAGAACCTTTCACCTAGCCTCATCCCTGGAACTTGGGGCGTAAGAAGAGACTGCAAGGTCAAACATAGTGGGAACGCATTAGACTGGCAGTCACCACCCAATTCTTCTGGGCAGACGGCAATGCAGACCAAAATTCTCCCAGAGGCATCGCCCACTGCTCCCCACCCCTTTTAATACTCCTTGGCCCTTTCACAGCCTCCGGTCCTTTTAAAAATAGCAACAAGCAACTCCCCCAACAGTAGGTGCATTGGATGTGCACCTAGAGACCCCTGGGCTCCTTGTGTCGGCAGGTTCCACCAGCTGCAGAACCACCTGAACTCTCCGCTTCTCTGAGACCAGCACAGACTAGTCCGGAGCCTTCCTGGCCTGGATCCTTTCCATCCAGGCAGGAAAGGCTGTTTCTCTCGGCTCCTCTGTGGAGTGGCGGCAGTTCCCAGGCATGGGTCTGAGGGCTCTGAAGTAGCTCTCCATGCCCTGAAGCACCGAGAACAATGGCCCGCACCACCGTGCCCCAGGCCTGCCTTCGCCTCAGCTCAGCCCAGAGGTGCTCTGGTGGGTGTGGGGTAGGAAATGCAAGCACTGACTCTCTCACCATGACTACAGGGGCCGCTCAAACCCTTTGACTTTGTGGACCAGAGGTATCCTTTTATGCTCCTCCCTTCCCTCCCCACCCCCCTTCCCCCAATGCTTCCTTGGTGATCAAAGTTGTGTGCGGAGTGGCTTAGTGGTTAAAAGGGTGGACTCTGGAGTTCAGATTCCAGCTATGCCAGTTATCAGCTGTGTGATCTTGGGCAAGTTGCCTAACCTCCCTGTGCTTGTTTCCCCGTCTATAAAACGGGGATTGCAACTACTTAGCTACCTCTTTATGTTGTGTGAGGATTAGATTAGTTAATACATATGAAATACATACTTGAAATAGTGTCTGGTGCATAGCAAGTGGTATTAAGCATTCATTTAGAGGCTAGAGTCATCATAGCATTAAGAACGCCGGTAATGAGAGGCTATGATTCGAGTGTAAACAGGTGCACACTAAATAACTGTAATTATATGTTTTAGTCCAAAAATAATTCAATCTTGAGCTATATGAACAAAAGGAGGAGCCTGCAGAAAAGGCTGGTGAGGATGCCTCGTTCTCTGACCAGTTGAGCAGGATGCTGAAGATCGGAGGAGCCAGCATTGTTGTACAGGCGGGACAACGTACCGAGTATATCTGGTGGGTATTTGTCCCCAGTTTCTGGGACAGAGCTTCCAAAACCCTCGGGACTTCTAAAATGTCCAAAGACATTGGGAATGTCTTCTGTTATTCATAATGAGCCCCTTTCGCCAAACCTGAGTTTATGCTCATGAGGTGACTTACAGTGGGCCCTTAGATAGTTTCAAGGGAGGGACTGGCCATCAGGAAAAAACCAAACCCTTAATTAGAGTGTTGCAACTTCACCCCAACCACACAGGAAGGGAGGGGGAGGGGCTGGAGGTTGAGTTCAATCAATGTCAAATGATTTAAACCGTTATGCCTTATAAAGCCTCTTTCCCCAATAGTGACCCCGCTCCCCATTAAAAATCTCTGGACACAGGCTTCCTGGTTGGTGCGCACATGGCCGGGCTGGGCTGTGACGCACTGGATTCCACGAGGAGAGGTTAGAAAGCTCTGCACCACATCGCCAAGCCCTAGATCCTGCCCTATGCGTTGCCTCCATTCGCTGTTCCTGAGTTGGATCCCTTATACTAAAACTGTCATCAGACTCACAGTGTCTTCGGTGAGTTCTGTAATTGTTCTACTGAATTCTAGAAAGTGAAGAGGAGATATGGACATCCCCACATCTACATCCTAGTCAGTGAGAAGTGTGGGTGGCCTCTGAAGCAGGGGCCATCTTGTGGGCAACCTTACCCTTTAACTTGTGGCAGTTACCTTGTGTGCCCTTTGACTCTAGGTAGTGTCAGAACCGAGTGGCTTCGTAGGATGCCCAGTGAGTGTCAGAGAACTGGTGTCAAAACGGCACCAGGCCACTTCCATTCATGATTTATTTTCATTCCCAGAACCACTCTATGAGACAGACATTATTGTCCCAGTTTCATAGGTAAAGAAACTGAATCAGAGGTTAACTAACTTGCCCAAGATCACAGAGATAACAGTGGAGCCCGGGTTTCAACCAGGACTGCCTCTGGCTCCAGATCCGCACTCCTCCACCCCAGTGGCCCCAGGTACCTGTTGGGCTGCCATGTGCAAGAGATTTAGGCTGACTCCTTGGAGCCTCAGGGGCCAGAACCAGAAAAGCCAGTGGTGGCTGCAGGCAGGCAGGTTCTAGCGGAGGGCCGAGGGAGAACGTCCCACCAGCAGGAGTTGCTCAGTGACGGGAAGATGGGACAGGCTGCCTTCTCGCAGGGGAGCTCTCTCCTTGCATCAGGGTGACTCTGGAAGCTGTAGAGGGGCTCCTGCCCTGGCTGGAGGGTTGGCCTAGTGACCTCTAAGGTCCATCAGATCCCATGGTAGCTCTTGAGTGAGCAGGATTGGGGGAGTTCACGCAAGGACCTGAGTGTCTGGAAGCTCATGCTGGTGAGATAACCCCCAGCTAAAAGTGTGTCCCGCCCTCATCACCACCAAAAGCCACGGACTAATTACCGGGAGGCGGGACCAGCCTTGGCCCAGGCTGTGTCTTCTCAGCGGTCAGCCTGTGCACCCTGCTCCGCTCAGCGACGCCGTCCGCATCTACGGGATTTCAAACGTCTGGGTGGAACCTGAAACACACAGAGATGACACATATGACTCTTGCACCTGCTTTCACAGCACCATTAGGTGTGGGTTTACTTTAAGGACTGCTGGGAAGTTCTTTAAAATGAACTCGAAATGGATTTTTATTTTAAAAGCAAATTATGTCCATAGAAAGCTAAAGAAAGCTTCATTGTCCTTATAACTGAGGTCAACATTCCTTTCAGAGAGGGGAAATGAAAAAGCCCTTTGCTGAGGGTCAGCCAGGGAGGCCCAGGGGAGGGAGAGGAAGGTGAGCTCAAGAGACAGAAGAAGCCCGAAGAATATCACACCCCAGGCGAGTGGGAGGGGTTTGGCGTTGCCCAGGCCAGGAACTGGTGGATTCAAAGCAATTTCATCCCCGAGTGCAAGGAGACCAGGGGCCCCCAGCTCACACCCGGGGAACAGGTTCTAAGAACTGAAGGAGGAATGCAAAGTTGTTAATATCTTACAAACAAGGGCGACTTACTACTCCAAAAATCCTGGGGATCAAGGTCTTCAAACAGTTAATCATAGAAAAAAAAATTAAGGCAAGTGACAGTTGTCCATTTTCACTTGTTGTTCAGACCCATAGATGCTGTGTCATCCCTGACCCCACTCTCACGCCCCATTGCCCTGCCTGTCCTGCCTCAGTGGCCAGATCAGCTCCATCCCTGACCTGGTGCTGCCCAGAGCAGAGCACCTGGAAAGACTTGTCTTGCCAATGAGGGGCAATGGTCACCCATCCAAAGAATGGCATCCAGAGGTATGTCAGCAACCCCACTCTGGAGCCAGCCAGCCCTGGAAGGTATGTTGTGCCTACGGGAGCCCAGGACACCAGGGCACCCAGGGCTCAGCATTCCTGTACCTAGGTGCTCCCTGATCCCAGTCACATGCTCAGGCCTCTAGTTAGGGACTCTAGATAGAGACCTCCAAACGCTATTCCCTATGCTCTGCATGTCAGTGGCCAGAAGACCTTCCATTGGTCTTATTTTTAGTTAGAACAGGGTCACGGCCACGGCTTAACGCTGCTTCTGTTCGATGCCCACCAACGTGGATGCCCTCCCTTCCAGGGCTGGCTGGCTCCAGGATGGGGTTGCTGACATACCTCTGGATGCTATTCTTTGGATGGGTGGCCATTGACCCGCCCTCAGGAACCATCCTGCAGCCAGGTAAGTTGTCTTACCTGAAGCACAGCTTCCTCCCCTTCCCAGGTAGCCCTTTCCACAGAAGTGTGAGGTTGCCCCGTAAGCTGCTAAGGTTTTACTTTTTAGAATCTGAGCTATGTCTATGTCCACTGAAAGAATCAATCCTCTGCCCCCAGAAGTGATTTGTACCATTCATGTAAGAAGACAGACATCTGACCCCCAGGTAAGTATACACCGTACACAGAAGTTCCCACCCCAGTCTCCCCAGTGGTGAAGTTCCACTGTTAGAGCTTCATTCCTTGGTTTATGGGTTTCCCCTGATTAAGATGAAAACAGCCCTGAGAGTTATTATAGGCAAACGTGTAGTTTGTGAAACACTCTCCTGTGGTTCCCAAACTGTCAAATCTCTGATCTCAGGGTCAGGCTGAGCCGTGGCAGGACAGGCACTGGATCAGCAGGTCTGAATAGGGAAAAGGGAAGAGAAGGAGCGTGATGCCAGGGCCGCTCAGGAGGGTCCAGCATCTTCGGCAGGGCTGTTGTCCTCAGTGGGCCTCTGGGGACTCTGTCAACCCTCAAGGTCGGCATCGCCACCCATTTAGCCTTTGGCTCCCCCAGCATGTGCTTCCCGAGCCTAGCTCGCCCCAGCTTCCAGCCACCCAGGCCATGTGGGCAGAGCTGAGAAGCAAGGGGAGGGCACCCCATGCAGTGAGAACAGCATCCACCCCCAGGACACCTGACCCCTCCTGGAAGGCAAGCTCCTGGGCTGCCTGCTTTCAGTGTGCAGTGAAGCTGGGCTGGAGATGGAAGAGTTAGGATGTGGGATTCCAATTCTAAGTGGTTGTCCACTAGACTAAACCTGGACAAGTCACAGGTGCTTAGGGGCTTGTGCCCACCTGGATGTCCCACTGCCACCTTGAAGTCGACCTGTGGCCAACCCTGCACCAGCCAGCCCTTTGGATGGGTGGCCCTGACCCTCCTTCACCCAGATGAACAATCCTGCAGCCAGCCCCTCCTCTCTGCCCCTCACCCAGCTAGCCACCCACCAAGGGTCCCTGAAGGCAGCCTCTGACTCTTCCCTCTTCTCACCCTGCGCACCCACTGTCACTAAGTTCTCTGGTTTTATGTCCTGAATATCTCCCCATCCAGAGCACCACATCCTGGATCAAGCCCACATCCCTCCATCCTTTCATGGTCTCTACCCATCTTTTCTCTCTCATACCCCCATCCAATCGGTAGCCAGAGTCGCTGCTCTAAATATGCAAAGATGGCCCATGCCTGTCACTGCCCTACTAAACACTCATCTGGGGCCCCCATCACCTGGGGCGGTGCTCCTTTACCTTTTCACTTTTTCAAACCAAACACATGGTCCATGTTGAAAATTCCACACCTCTCCTCCTACCCCCACCCCCAATTCTGACCATGGGACTAGGGGACTGTGGCTCTTGCTCTGGCCCCTCCCTGCCTCTGGAGAACTGCCGGTCTAAGATCTTAGCTGGCACACCAAGCTCCATGGGCCTCTCAGTGCCCGCCCCCACCCTCCCAGCCTGTCATTGGTTCTCCAGGGATATTCCCAGGACCTGGAAGGCACCGGCTGGCTCCCACCTTGTGGGTGGTCCATGCTGATCTCCACCTGGAGCACTCTCCGCTTTGCCTCTCCCTTCAGCTCGAACTGTTCTCTCCCAGAGTCTTCCCTGCCCTCCCCCCGCCCCCCATACCTGTCCCTTAGGCTCTCAGGTCACCAACACTCCCCTCTTTCATTCCACCTCGAGCCCAATAGTAACAACCTACTACCAGGAGCTCCAAGTGGGCAAGGCCTGTGCCTTCAGCATTTCTCTATTCCCCATGTTGCCATAGGACCTGGTGCCAGGTCAGTCCCAAATAAATGTAAGTTGAACTGAAACTCAACTAACAGTGAGTTGGGAGAAGTTAGGCTGGTTCAGCAAAGCAGCACAGCCAGGACCTGGGTCTCAGAGGTGAGCTCGGCCCCAGGGGGCCTCACAGCAGCCCCTCTCAGGGGAAGGTGCTGAGTGTTAGTGGAGGCTGCACGGCAGGTGCCCTAGAGCCTAAATCAGCTCCTCTGAAACAAAACATTCTTTTCCTCCATAACCCACTCTTCTTGCCTATTTTGAAGCAAAATTCCAGCAATGGATTACAATGTTCAAACTACCAAGTTCAACTCCACAGTATAACATTGATTATGGGGAGACAAGAGAAGATTATGTTCTATACCAACATCATAAACCACAACCCCCTTGACTCTGTCTATCTCCCCTCTTCCCTCCGACAGCCCTCCCCTGTCCCTGCCCCAGAACCCTCCGCTCTGTGCTCAGGGGAGCCCCAGAGCTCCCCTTTGCATCCTCACACTCTTGACCCTACTCGGCAAGGGCTCTGTTGGGGATTCGCCGTCCTCAGAGAGCAGCTGGGGATGGCAAATCATGAAAGACGTCCCTGTCACAGGTCATTTTCTTCCCTGTCCCTCTGAAGACCAGGTATACGGAATCACTAGAGTATGACAGCGCAATTCTATGGGTCATTCCTTGTAGCTATAAAAGAAACAGAAGGTCTAGAAGGGGAATAACAGATGCCCAAGTTGCCTGACTTTTTGTTAAAATCCTTTTAAGCTTGTGAGCACCAAGGAAAGGCGGGTGCCTGTCTCCTGCCACATCAGCCAGAGGTGTCCGGGCAGAAGCAGACAGGCTATCACCCAGCAGCCTGAGTCCCATGTGGAAAGATGCGCCAAGTTGTCATTTCCCAGCTGCTCCCACCACTGCCCTGGGCATCCACCCCTGTGCTGGTGCCAGCCTCTGAAGGCCCTAGTCCCAGTCCCCTTGTCAGCTACAGACAAGGGCGGCACAGAGTTTGTTCCAAGCTTCACTCTGGAAGTCAGAGCCCAAACTCACCGATCCCTGCATGACACTTCCAAGCCTGCGACCTAGCAGCGTCAAAGAAGACTGTTGAATAGAGGACTGGACCACACCCGCCTGCTCTGTTCAGATAAAGGGAAAGCTCGAACCTCTGGGTGGTGGGATCTTGCGTGAAGCTTATCATCAGCTTCTTCACATGCCTCTGGCTTTTTCTAACTTCTACACTAGGTATTAACTGCTGGAACCATTTAGGACAGAAATAGTTTAAAAGAAGAAAGGGAGAAGGAGAGAGATGGTCAAGCCCCCCTCGGCCCATCTCTGGAAACCCGCTTGGCTGGAAGAATCCTTGAACCTGCTGACCGCTGCAAGCCCAAGAAGCACTCATTTCTGAGCCTCCCACATTCCTATCAAAGGCCAGTGAATAGCCTATGTGAATAGCCTTCTAGCAAAGGACCCCAAACCTAATGGTTGGTAGGCATTTTCCCCATTCTTCTGTTCTCCAGCAATTGTAGGCCCAGCATTCCTTCTCACCACTTGGAATCAGCTCCTTCCCGCTCGCCGGCCAAGTACAGTCATCTGCTGGCTATCTACTGGTGCCCAGGAGTAAGAACTGGAATTGAGTATGAGAAGGAAGATTCCCAAAACAAAGGAGGTTTGGCCCCTGCCTGCTAGAGGCCCACAGTCTGTGAAGGTGAAAAATACATATATTTCCAACAAGCATTAATTACATTCATTTCAGAAGACCTCTCACATTCAGTTTCAGTCACACTGTATATATATTTAACTGTTGAGTTCAACACAATACAGGAAACTGAAAATAAATGAAAATGCTCAATGTTTTTTAGAACAGACCAGAAACCTTGGGTCTACATTTATGAGGGCCACAGTCCTGAGCTAGACTCTTAATGAAGATATTATTTAATCAATGAAATTTATTAAATAAATTAGGTGTTGGTGCTGAGCTGGGCCCTTCCCATCCGTGCGGCCGTGAAGGGCCCA